ACATCTAATAAACACAATGTTTATTTAATGCGTACTTTTAATCGATTCATAATAAACATTAATAGTTACAATTAATTTATTAATAACATACTTGTGTAAGAAGATTTCGAAGAGAACATTTCGAAAATTTCTACATTCAATTGCATTTTTCTTTATTTTTATGTTAATAAATTTTAAGAGAAATATTTCAATATTCATTTTTATTGTTTGCTTAATTTGTATTATTAAAATCAATTTTAATACATATTTAAATACATAACTGCAAAAAATAATTATGATCTGAGTTTAGTTATAAATAATATGTTATATTTATACCTCCCACTACTTATTATGATATCCTTTATACGCATCGATGTTTGTTGGCACGGTCATTACTTTGTAACGAACTGTCGAAGCAGAGAGATCGTGATTCAGAGAATACATCATTTTCTATTACTTATAACGGTAAATATAATTTGAGCAAATTATTGTAGACTATTTTAAATATCTATTAGCCTACACAATTTCAATACATAAATTGAATCAATAGAACAATATCTATGTATGTTGTGTTATATAAATATAATTTTTTTAAATATGTAGAAATATTTCAAAACTCAATTTACATACAATTCTTTTTTTCAAATTATCATTAACGTTAAATGTCTTTCTTAAGGTAAGAAGTATCATTTCACTTCATTATAGATGTGGTGATGTAATATTTAATATACTAACGAAATTATATATTCTCATAACAAGTAAACGATTCTATTTCTTTCTCGATGTAGTAGATAAAAAAAGGGACTTTTATCCGATAACAATAATTTGCATACTGAATTTGAGAATCAGTACGTTGCAATTCCGCTAAAAATAATGACACATGATTGATAATTTAATTACTTGAATTTAACTTATACAAATATATGATTTTTGGAACTTAAGAGCCTGCTTTCGAGGACAGGCTTTTTCAATTATTTTTGTACTTTCGTGTTATGATCATAAACTTATCAATAAGAAAGTCTATAACTACACTTTTATAATTTTTGCAAAAGTAAAATTTCGATATAATTTAACATAATTTCAATATAATTTTACTTCATATTTCTATTTGTTATAAAACATACATTACTGCAAATGAAAAATTTGTTATTCGTTTAGATGAATATTGTCGAATTAATAAAATTATTACTGTATGGAAGTTTAATATTAAATTACGTTACGGCTCTTTATCAACATAAAGAAAATGTGTTTGACAAACCCAGAATAAGTAACAAGCGAACAGACAGCTCAAAAACAACGAGAACTAGGAGATCAGAAATAACAGAAATCAATAAAAAAGTCACATCCAACGATACACACGCTTACATAGTGTCTACAAGAGTACATGTTACACCTGTCAATTTTCGTTTGCCTGATTTTATAATACCAAAAGAATACAAAATTAATTTAAGATTAAATACAGAAGAGGATATCTTCTCTGGAATAAGTAATATTACCATTATGATTTATAAAACTACACAATATATAAACTTGCATTCAGCAAATTTAGAAATAACTAGTTGCAAGTTAACTAATATTATTGATGGAGAAATAAATGTGTATGGAACACGTAATATTACCTATATACACAAACTGCAAATTGTCGCCTTGGATTTTGTTGTTGTCCTACATCCTGATGAATATAATTTGATCATGACTTATAAAGGTGTCATTGATAATGATGTCGGAGGATTTATCAAGATGCCATATATAAATGCGACAGGACATAAAAAGTGAGTAAAAAAATATACATATTATATTAAAAATATTATGTAATAATAAAGAAAATTTCTATTATTCTATTATTTATGTCCCTTAATTACTAAAAATTAATACTCACGCGTAATCTAAAGCAAATTTGTGCAAACATACTTATCACGTTACAATTGTTATATACCAAAAGTTAAAAAAAGTTGATTGACTATTGGAAATTAATGATTCACAATGACTTACGTTGTATGAAAGTTCGTTAAATATGTCTAAAAGTAATGTTATAATATTTATAGGGTTTTGGAAGAAACTTTGATACAAAATATGTAATTAGCGAATGTAAACATTCTGTGAAAAGTTATGAAAATAACAATGTATAAAATGATATTATTCCTTTCTTAAAGATGTTTTACTAAATAAGTTCTTTATAAATATTGTCCGCGTATACAACAAAATTTTTAATTCGAATCTCTAAATGTTTATTCATGATCTACAGATGTATGTGCATAATAAAATAAGTATATGAACTGTAAAAAAGCAATAGAAGAAAAGGGCTTATTTTATATATATAATATAAATAAAATATAAAATAAAATATAAAAAATGTTATTAAAATATATTTGCTCTTATCTCAGTTCTTATATTAATTTCCAATGCTATAAAAAAATAAGAAATTATGTCATTTTATAATACTATAATATTATAATCATTTTATAATACTATAATAAAATTAATTAAATGTGCTAGATGGCTTATCGCAACAAATAATTCAGTGACAGGAATGCGACGTCTCTTTCCATGTTGGGACGAACCGAGAGTAAAATCTAAATTTACCATTTCTATAAAATACCCTAAACATTTCGATGTTTTTCCAAATACACATTTTCCTCTTATACTTTATACATCAGAACAAACAACGACACGCTTTGCTACAACTCCTGAAATACCTACGTACCGTATAGCAATTTTGCTACTGGATAAGAATGATTATATTCATGTTTCTCCCAAACAAGAAAAAAATAAAATTATTCTGAAATCATGGAAAAGAGAATGGATGAGCGTGCAGTGGGATGAAATTTTTGGATTAATGGAAAATGTCACAAGTACTGTTGAATCTATATCGCCACAACCAAAAAGCTCTTTATTAGAAAATCAATACGCGATCGCAGGTTTGAAAGATGGTAGCGTGGACAAATTGCAGTTCATACTTTACAGGTAGTATATGTATTTAAAGAAATTAATTTCTATATTTTTATAATAAAACAATTGTAGAATAGAAACACGTTATAAATATTATTAGAATTTATAATAGACAGTGTTATTAATAGAAGATGATATTAATAGAAGATGTATTGTGAATGAATTTGTGACATGAATGTAACGATATTGTCGTATGTTGTTTTCAGAGAAGAAGATATTTACAATAAAGAGATAGATCCCATTGCACGCAAAATAGAGTTATCACGTATAATAGGACGTAAAATTGTAGGCCAATTGTTTAGTACTGCGGTTAGTCCATCATGGTGGTCTTACATGTGGTTGAACGAGGGTATTGCTATGTTGTTGGGCGTGTACATAATCAATCAGGTATTTCCTCATGTCTGTGATACTTTGAAAGAAAACTGAACAAAAGTTCTATTTGGAATTATACGAGAAAAGAAGGAACATTCTTCGATCATTTTCAATGATCATCATTTTCAATGATGATGAATTTAAATTAAATATTAGGAATTTTGTAGCATTCATGTAAATCGTTTATAAAATTTTTAATAATTTAATTAGATTAGTAATGGTTATTAGTTTAATGATAATAACCTGATAATTAAATTATTTGTTGTGATATCGTGACTATACTTGTAATATCTAGACTGTGCCAGATACTCGGATGTTGGATTTGTTCGTAGTCCAGACTCAACAAGAATCTCTCCGTTTAGACGATTCACAAATTATGAAACCTCTTGATTCAGAAATTAACAGTATCTCTGAAATTAATTCTCTCTTCTCTTTCACTTACTACATGAAAGGTATACAGTACTGAATAATGTTCAAACAATTAACACATGTCAAATTATTCAAGAACTATACCAAAAATAAGATTTTACTTCAATTTACTTTTTCTTATTTATTAAAATAAGTAAAAACATATTCTAAAACAAATACATATATTTCTAAAAATATCGAAATTCTTAATTAATTAATTGTAGTCTCAATATTTCTGAGAACTTTGATAAATTTACTGTAGGTATAATTTCTTGTATGTTTGATCTTATAACGCTCATTTGTTATAGCACCTTCTATATTGCGTATGCTGCATAATACAGTGGGTAATGAAATTTTTCAGAGAGGGATTAATATGTATATGAAAAGAGAGTAAGTATATTTCATTTGTCTTGTATTTCTTCTCTCTTGTCCTTTTGTTAAATAAATAATTTTTTATTTTTATTTTTTATTACATGATGTAAGGTTATATGCAAATAATAATTTACTATATTTTTTGCTATTTTTGGACTTTATAAGAAGACTCTATGTTACTACTCTATGTTACATATAAAATTACTTTCCCACATACTTTCTTACTTTTCGAAATAAGAAAAAATTTAAATGTGCGTTAACATAAAAAAAAAGATATTGTATGTCAAAAAATTTGCTATTCAGAATCAAAGACTAATTAACAATAAAATTTAATGTAATTATTTTTCGAATATATCATTACATGTTATTTTTGTTTATTGTTTGTAGAAGATAGTGATAAAAATTGAAAACATTTTTATTATAAAATTTATTTATCTGTCATTCAATTATCCCAATTAAAATCCGTGCAATCGATATTGAAACTTTACAACTTATATTACAATTTTGAGCAAATAAAATCACGAGCATCTACCTCGCAAGAACTAAACTGAGCGAATAATGCAAATTATGTGTGTTTTTCGATAATTATAAAATTTGTATAGATTTGTGTTTATGCTGTATATCGAGAAAATCATGTTTGTCTGCTGATATTGTCTTTATCATAGTATATACATCGCGAATAGAAATTTTTATACATCATTTTTATACATTTTTGTAAGGACGGGTAGTCTGGATGATTTTTTGACTGTAATGCAATCTGTCTATGATTCACAAACTATGGATTTGGAGAAAATTAGCGTAAAAGACTTGATGAATCCTTGGATACAAAAAAAGCAATACCCTATTGTCAATGTAACGGAAATCTTTGATACCGAATGGACGAGAATTGTTCTAGAAACTGCCTCCAAAAACTGGACGATACCATTAACAAATCAAATGTATATAAATTTAAAACGAATTTTACCCAAATTTTGTCTAGCGGGAATTTTGTCCCGGGAACAAAAGCACTTTCTTGCAGTATGTTATAATTTTAAACACAGTCAATTCATAATAATCAATCAGCAACAAACAGGTAAATAACGATCAAATACTTTAACTTTTACTTTTTAATATGGAATATTATTAATTTATTTATTTTGTATTATGAAGACTTATTAACTACGAAAAGAAAAAGATTCTTGACTTACCTTTATAACAGAGTTCTTAAATAAACATATACGACTTTAAATTTGTACATCTCAGATAAATTAGAACTGCCTATTAGAGATCTTAATCCATCCACAATTATTTTTTTTAAACGAATTACATTTGACGCATTTTGTTTAATAATCGTATTCACATGTTTGACGAAATTCTTTGATTAATCCTATTTGATGTAAAATATTTATAAACAAAAATTAACTTTCCTAAAAATTTAATTTATTTTTATAAACAAATTGTCAATGGTATGTACTAAATGATATATTTATCAATTAAACGCAGCATTCGACATAAAATTTAATATTACATCAGTTCATAAATACCAATTTTTTATTATTTATAATACCAGCTAATTTATTTAATAAATGTACTTTCGATCACATTTAAAATTAAAGATAATATTTAATGATATTCTATCTTTTACTTTATCAATTACATTATAATTTAATACAGTTTAATGGCAAATAATATTTATTTATTATATGACAGGATATTACCGTGTATTTTATAACAGGGAAAGTTGGTTAAGAATTGTAAGTTATCTTAATTCTGAGAATTTTACAAATATTAATGTTTTAAATCGTGCTCAACTCATCGACGATACGTTCCATTTAACAATATCAGGCGAATTAGATTCTTCTGTATTTTGGGAAGTCGTAAGCTATCTAAAGTGGGAAACAGACTATATACCATGGTATTCTATGTTCAAAGCTATTGAACATGAGTCACACACCCTACTCTTTCCTAATGTCAATACTACTAATTTCAAGGTAAAAACGCTTTGGAAAAGGAATGTTTTATGTTGTTATGTTCAAAATATTAATTTATTTTTAATAATCATTTAAATTATTTTTAAAAAATGTGTGTTTCTAATTTAAAAATAAAGTTTTTTACGTTTTTACGAGACTGAGTTAAAAATTTTTTGAATAATTAATGTTATTTTTATGTTACTTCACAATATTTAGATGAAACTACGAGAGCTACTGATTTCGCTTCTTGTAAAAATTGGATACGAAGAAGAACCTAACGACAACAGTCTTATTAAATGTTTAAGGCAAGAAGCTTTAAGATGGGCTTGCGTTCTCGGTGATAGCGAATGCAAAAAATATGCTAAATCTAAATTGCAATGGCATTTATCAAATCCGACGTAATTATTAATTCTTCTACTATAATATTTTTACAATATCTACAATACACGTCATATTTTTAAATATGTAAAAATATGTAAAAATACAAATTATTATTTTATGATAAAATGTTCCAGAGAAAATAAATTATTACCATGGTGGAGGGAATGGACATTCTGTAATGGTTTATCTGTATCTAGCATTTCTCTTGACAAACTATTTAAAGATTTGGATGAAATTTCGAAAATTAAAGATTCAGAAATGTTGAAACCTCTAGCTTGCTGTACCGATAATTATAGTCTTCTGTCTTTCTCCGATAAGCTAAAAATGTTAAGAAATTTTTACGTATTTTCTTATACAGAAGATAATGCAAGAACAATCTGTGTTATTAAAAATTACATTTATTGGTTTTATTACATTATTCAAAACCATGCAAATAATGATTCATTTAATTACATTTTATTAAACAATTTGAAAGAAATCAAGCCTAAGTATGTACTTTTTCATTATTTTCAAATTTTTAATTTTTAATACAAATTCTTCATTTGAATGCAATCAAAATTTCATTACATTTTATTGTATTTTATTGTATTATATTACATGCTATTTTTTTCTAGAGAGATTAGTACAACCGCAGCAATAATTAATATTATAAATTATACTTATTCTAATAAATTACTCTGTGAGGTAAGTTTTATTAAGCATACATATATATATATATATATATATATACAAGTACAAGTACAGCATATATATACAATATACAAGTTTTATTAAGCATATATATATTAAGCAATATATATATAAGCAATAATTCTTGTTTTTTCATATATTTTCGTTAAATTACAATTTTTTGGTTATATGTAACATAATGTTACAAATGTGAAAAATTTTACTTTAATATTGTTGAATAAGAAATTAATTAAATGACATATAAATGTCACATAAAAAGAAATAATACTTTATTCCCATTTATTTCATAAAATTTGGTAAAATTATTAACTTTTATATATATTATATAATTATATATATTATAAATTATATATTATATAATTATTAACTTTAATGTACATATATGTGTGTTGTGTGTGTGTGTGTGTGTGTGTGTGTGTGTGTGTGTGTGTGTGTGTGTGTGTGTGTGTGTGTGTGTGTGTTGTTATTTATTACAAACAACATACAAATTTAAAAATTATTTATTTACAAGAAAACAATATCGTCAGTATTTTCTAAAAACTTGATATACCTTCATGTGTCATATAAAGGATCCTTTATACTTCCTGACACAAGCTTTTATGCAAGAGTTGTCAGAACAGGAGTCCTGTATTTTTCGTATTTCTCAATTGCTAGTAAGCTATTAATTAATAAAAAATTCATGAATAAACATATACTTAGAAGAAATAGCCTTTTATTGTTACTGGAAACAATGCTGCTAGATGTTTGCATGCGTGCAAATAAGCGAATAATACATTATTTGTAGATCATACTTCCAAACATCTCATCGCATTCCTAACTATTTCATAAATGCGCGTAATATTGATCTGCCTCTTCAGACAAGTTCACCCTTATCTTTCTATTTATTAATGACTTTTTTATTAATTGCCAAACTCGCGGGGTGATAAGGATTTTTTATTTATCGTCGACTTTATCTACATATAAGCTCTCTGTCAATAATTATTAGATAGCCTGTAGAAAAGAATCTAAACGAATACATGTATAAAACACAAACAATATTATAACATTATTATATAATGTTTCACATTACAATCTTTCTTTCTAAAATTAATGAATTTGCAGAATGTATGCAAATTAAGATGATGTTAATTTTGCAGATACAGAAATGGATACGTAAGAATCTTGCTAATTCATTACTACTTCAGAACACTGAACACAAAATAAAAATGCGCCTCAAGAAACACTATGTAAATACTATAGATGATGTATGTAAGTGATCCTGCTTTAGTCTTTAATAGATCATATAAGAGAAGATTGCATTAAATTTATCCTGCTTTGTGTACATTTCGATATTACTGCCAATACTAAAAATGTATCCGTAATTCGTGTTTCCGATATTATAGATTTTCAATATTGTTAGAAAAAATCGGAACATACAATCTAGGATTTATCATTTTGTAGTTGTAAAAACATATCGATGTTCACGCCTTTCTTGCTTTCCACTTTGTAGATATCTCTTTGTAACATTCAACAATCAATCTCAAAGAAAAAAAAACAGACTAATATCATTAGAAACTTTTGACATTTATGTTAGCATTACTTTAAAATATATTATTAATATTATTATAAATTATTCTTACACGTAGTTAATTTTATAATGATTATTAAAAATATGTACTATGATACGTAAACAACTTCTGCACATATATTAAATGTATGTATATAATAAACGTCAAATACTAATGATTTTACATTAGTCTTATATGTGACTACTTGATTAGTCTTATATTTCGAAATTGATTGTACTTTACGAAAAGAACTTTAAAATAACTAATGAGGATAGGCATGAATATTGATAATTAGTTCAGAACTTCAAATTATAAATGGCATTGTAATCCTTAATATTTGAAATTCTATGAATACATTTAACAAAATGATTAAACCTGGACTTTCCTTAAATAATTTTTATATATAATGTTAATTTAAATAATTATTTATTGTGTATCTATTGTAAAGATGATTTCCATTTTTAATAATTTTAAATAAATTTGACATAAGCATTTATCAATAGCATTTGATTATATATTTTAGAAACATTTCAGTACCTATTGGACAAAATATTAAAAATATTTCATTAAACTTCTGCAAAAATAAACAGAAATATGTATCAACACTTATTTGCTTTAAATGACGTAAAATTTTAAGATTATACAAATAAATTTTGAATTATACAATTATACAATATTCTAAATTATACAATATTCTTAACAACATTAAAGATTTTGGATTGAAGAATATTTAGATATTGTCTATAAATTTAAAGTTTAATTTACATCTGATATAT